GGCAGTGAAACCCACAAGGTCACCACCAGCAAAATCACCTCAACTGCATCACCACCAGCAAAAATAACTCAGAAAAGAATATATAAGGAGGCCTCTCCTTCACCAATTCCCCCCATCATCACCCAGCAGGTTCATCCCCCCACAACCAGCTCAGTGGTCATCAACATCCAAGTCTAGTCAACACCAACACCAACACCAACATCAACATCAACAACAACAACCAACAGTTTCACTACTTATCCAGAATCACCATAAAACCATAAACCCTATAAAATATTCCACTTGGATTGTTTTCACACTCACATTCACCGTGTAAAGGTTGTACAACCATCTTGTATTGAATTACATACTGATCTAGGTCTGATAGAGACTACTACATATAAAGTTTTCTCCATCATAAAGTTACGCCACAACAATAAATTAAATTGTTGTCAGAATTCTTGTGTAGTAAATAGAGGGGCAGGTCTTTCAAACCACCCGTAACAGTAAATATTATCTAGTGAAATATCATTATTGTTATTTCCCCCTCAAGGACTGCCAACCCATCCCAAAGGAGTTCTCACACCGCAAGTACAGGTGTGGGTGTGGGTGTCTGAGATCTGAGAATTTTCACGCAAGTACTTGTACTTGTTGTAGGTGCACAAGTATGAGGGTCCATCTGTAGTTGGGACTGATATTCATGACAGGTGAGACAATCACTAAGATAAAAGTTGGTTTAGATTCAGTGAGTAGAAGAAATCAAGATGAGAAACTGTGTGAGCTAAATACACCTAGGTTGAAGCATATACACAGTACAAGCATCTCAACAGTTTAGGACCGCATATCTTTGGTGTGCAGGCAGGGGGCTTGATAAACGCACGCCACCCCCCCTGGCGCACGCCAAACCGCACGCCAGGTGGGGATTGGCATGCACGCCTGCACGCCAAAGAAAATTGGCATGCGGGCCCGCACGCCAATCTACAGAGTGTATACCGGCGTGCAGGCCTGCACGCCAATCCCCACCTGGCGTGCGGTTTGGCGTGCGCCAGGGGGGCTGGCGTGCGTTTATCAACGCCCTGCAGGCAGGCACACCAATCTGTTGATGAACAAACTAAAGTATTTATTTCTTATGAGTTACATGTAGATGACAATGCGACACAGAAGAAATAAAAAGGAAAGAATAAATACCTAAAGGCAGAGACAACAAAATAGACAGGACAGCGACACAAGAGAAAGCAGAGAACAAGGAAGATGATAAAGAAACTAATACAGGAATGGTTAGTTAGCTGTCGTCGGGATGAGAGAAAGAACTGTCGAGTTGAACATACTAAGTGAAGAAGATCTTGCAGTCAGCAGAGATGTCGGCGAGCAGTCGAAAGGAAGGGAGATCAGCGAGCAGTCGAAAGGAAGGGAAATCGAACAAGGGTTTAAGGTCGTGTATCGACGCGAAAGGTCGAGGAAGACAAGCAAACAAAGAAGCGCTAATAGATAGTTGTCGAGAGATGTTTTGACGAGTCTTGATGGAACTGTTCAGCAAAGAAGTGTTAAGAAAGAGTTTGCTGAAGGTGATTGATGAATAAGATAAGAAGTCAATAAAGTTCCACGAGAAGAGACCGGAATCGAGAAGTTGCGGAAATGTTTATTCTTTATATATTCGAGATTTGAGATGAGAGAGGGATCGAGCGGGATTCTTGCAGTGAGAAAAAGAAGGTCTGATTGAGTGTCTGAGAGTTGAAATTGAGAAGAATGATGTCATATCAAACTGGACCACTTAGAGTCATAGAGGGATGTCACATAGATGTTACTCATATATCAACACAATCCGCAAGGTAATACCCCTGCAAGCAATTGGTGTGAATGCCTGCATGCCAATCTGCAGTGGTGTGCGGGCGTGCACACCAATCTGAAAATGGTGTGCGCAAGGGGGGATGGCTTGCACTTATCATTCCCCGGATTTTTGGTATAAGCATACTCTTGAAAAGGTATGAATTTCCAAAAAAACATGTATTCAACACCCCCCTCTTGGGGGGCTTGCTGGGGTCCATCCTAACCCCCCTCCCCTGGTAGAACATCTTGTTCACATTTATAAACATAGCCACCTTGATTAAACATAGCCACCTTGATTAAACATAGCCACCTTGATTAAACATAGCCACCTTGATTAAACATATATTATGGTGTTCAAAATTGATTGGTAAGTTTTTGCTTGTAAGAGACAGGAGCACTTAGTGGATGTGTCTGAAATCCAAGATCACAAGCGCTTGGAGCCATGACCCAAGCTGAGAGGTCAAAGCAGACATAGCTGATCACAGACCTCCTCCCCCTGGAAGAAGGAGAGTTATAGCCCTGCTCCCTCTTTTCCTCTCAGCACCAATTCTCCTGACACTCTTCTCCACATCTCACTTCAGCTACCCTGTCTCATACGCGCTATCCCCATTTTTTCAGAGCCTCCCTGCCACCCTGGGGTCTAGCGCAATCCCCCTCACTTCTCCTCTCTGTTTCATGAAGAGAACCTTCTTATACCATAAAGGCCAGCACTAGGGCCCCCTCACTAGTGGCCAATTGATTTAGAATAAGGTCTCTCCCAAGACACTCACACGCCCTTCCTGAAATCCCTAAATAATTTAGGGGACCAGGAAGGGCTATGGGTGGAGCCATCAGGACCTCAAAGTCCCGGCGACACCCAAAACCCTTGCAGAGATGGGATTAGTGTAGATGAATTGGACTATTTGTAAATAATCTGAAATTTAAAGGGGACTCATCAATTTTATTTTTCATGAATATGCTGACAATTCCCTGCCAAAATTCCACATTATGACAATAATTAAAAGTTTGCTTAATCAATTTTGAAGACCATATACATAATTATATATGATCTTTCTTGGAGTAATGAAAGGAATTTGAAACCTGCAGGGCTAAACGGGCTCCTTTCTCTCCCAGTGGAACCCAACCCTCTCAGCAGGACACCGGTTCCCGTTCATAGAAACATGCTGCAGAGTCTCAGATCCATCCACATATTTTCCTTCGCCTTGTTGGTTTGCCTTTCTGGTGGGCTGATGAACCAAGACTGCAACAATTCTGCAAGGAGGAAACCGGAAGGAGTCCAATCGATTGAGGTTTCACATGAGAAATGGGTTAGGTTCCCGATGTATTCTGGGGCCCAGCCTGCCTGTCACACACCTGTCACCCCTCTCGCCCAAATTCTGCCCTGCTTCGATCTTCATGGCTTGATCCACTACCAGCCTCTACCAGGATAGCAAGCTTTCCCCAATTATATCTCTTCACGAATACCCAGGAAAACACAAGCAAAAATGGCCACTACCCTAACTCACCCGGCTATCAAAGGTCTGTCTATCTTTTCACAATCTTGTCGTCTTGTTGAGTGGCCATCTTTCTCACACAGAAATAGCTGCTGACTGAATTGCCGGGTGACCTCTGGTGGTTTATTCAGATGGTTGGTTCCGTGAGGAAAGTAACTTATGGCCAGGTCAAGCCATGTCCCTTCAGGTAGGTCTCCGGAAGAAGTTATCAAACACCCAATAAAACGGGAAAGTCAAACTTGTGATTGACACGGCTTTTTTCCTTTTATTTTTCAGGTCAAAAAAGTCTTACACGTCGAAAAGAGCAAATTCCAGGATGTACTCGTGTTCGAATCTACTTCGCACGGCAACGTTTTGGTACTCGATGGTGCCATTCAATGCGTTGAGAACGATGAGTTCAGGTAGCCAAACAAGATTCCGACCTTTTGATTATTATCGACCGGTCACTAACTGAATGCTTGAAATGGTTCGAATGATTTAGCTACCAAGAGATGATCGCTCATTTGCCCCTTAACTCTCACCCCAATCCAGAGCATGTCCTTGTCATCGGTGGTGGGGATGGTGGCGTACTGAGGGAGGTCCTCAAGCACCCAAGCGTCAAGACGGCTACTCTCGTTGATATCGACGAGGCCGTTCCACGAGTCTCCAAAACCTTCCTTCCTCACATGGCTGCTGGCTTCAATGATCCTCGAGTGACAGTTCACATCGGAGATGGTTTCCAGTACCTCCGCGACCAAGTTGGAAAGTTTGATGTTATCATCACTGACAGGTATGCAGTTATCTTTGACGCTTTAGCCGATTTTGTTATTATTGTATGACTGAGTCCCATTATCTTCAATCTAGTTCGGACCCCAATGAAGGCCCTGCGCAAACCTTGTTTGGCATGCCCTACTTTGAATTACTCAAGAACGCCTTGAAGCCCAACGGATCGATTGCAACTCAAGGAGAATGCATCTGGCTCCATCTTCCTCTGATTCACAGCTTGATCAAAGGCGCAAAAGATTTGTTCCCTCAAGTCGAGTATGCATACACTTCGATCCCCACTTACCCCAGTGGAACAATCGGATTTGTCGTCTGCTCTCTCGATAAAGACCGCAAATTGAAACAGCCCCTCAGACAAGTCCGCAACACCAAGTACTACAACAAGAATGTGCACGCCGCTGCGTTCGTCTTGCCCGAGTTCGCTCGTCAAGCCGTTGAGGCCGCCAAAGCCAACCTCGACATGCCTGACAAATCTGCCTCGGCTCAATCATCTGTCCCTGGTAAGAAAATTCTGCTCCTTGGCTCTGGATTTGTGGCACAGCCCGCTGCGGACTATCTTCTCCGACGCCCCGAAAACCAAGTCACAGTTGCTTCATTCAACCTCTGGAAAGCTGAACGATTCGCCACTGAGCTGGCACGGGAAGTCAAGTGCATCTCGCTTGACATCAACAACAGCGAGGCTTTAGACAAAGCAGTTTCCGAGCATGATTTGGTCATTTCCCTCGTGCCTTACATCCACCATGCCAGCGTAATCAAGAGCGCTATCAAGTTCAAGAAGAATGTGGTCACCACTAGCTACGTCAGTCCCGCTATGCGAGCGCTGGATGAGGAAGTTAAGAAGGCTGGTATCACTGTCTTGAACGAGATCGGTGTGGACCCTGGAGTCGATCATCTCTACGCTGTCAAGATGATCGATACCGTCCACCGGGCTGGTGGTAAAATCATCGAGTTCATCTCATACTGCTGTGGTTTGCCCGCACCGGAATGCTCAAACAACCCGCTGGGCTACAAATTCTCGTGGTCTTCACGAGGAGTTTTGCTGGCTCTTTTGAACTCAGCTAAGCTCTACTCGAAGGGAAAATTGATCGAGATCGAAGGCCAGGAGCTCATGAACCACGCCCAACCCTACTTCATCTCACCCGCTTTTGCATTCGTCGCTTACCCCAACCGAGACTCGACCCCATTCCGTGAATTCTACGAAATCCCAGAAGCTCAGACCGTTGTCCGTGGTACCATCCGATACCAAGGCTTCCCGGCCTTCATCAAGACCCTTGTAGACATCGGCTTCTTGAACGAAACCCCTCAGGCCTATTTGCGACCCGAATCGACCTTACCATGGAAAGAGGTTACCGCTCGAATCCTAGGTGCAGATGATTCTACTGAGCGCTGCTTGGTCTCTGAGATCAAGAAGAGGACCACTTTCCCTAACTCAGACGAAGAGGTCCGAATCCTAGCTGGATTGAAATGGATCGGAATCTTCAGCGATGACCATGCGGTACCCAGAGGCAATATCTTGGACACCCTTTGTGCCAGACTCGAAACTAAGATGCAGTACGAGAAGGACGAAAGGGACATGGTCGTCTTACAACACAAGTTTGGAATCCAATGGCAGGACGGTAGCAAGGTTAGAATTATTTTCATCCTTCAATTGATCAATTTCATCCGTTTCTTTCTGATTGCATCACTAATCTTTGTGCCTGACTTTAGGAAACGCGAACATCAACTTTGGTTGAATACGGAGCACCCTTCCAATCTGGAACCGGTCCATCCGCCATGGTGCGCAAATACAATTTATTCTTGACAAAAAAAAAACACTTTTGAGATCAGACAAAAATTGATAATTTGGGTCTAACAAACTGTGTTTTCTTATTTACGTTGAAACTCATGCAGGCTAAACTGGTCGGAGTACCCTGTGGGATTGCTGTCCAATTGATTTTGGATGGAAAGATCACTAAGAAGGGAGTCTTGGCACCTTATACTTTGGACATCGTTGCTCCACTTCTGGCTGAAGTCGAAAAGGAAGGCATCTCGATGGTCGATCAAATCGTTTCTTGAAAACCCTATGATTATGGATAGAACCCCATCACCATCAAACAAACTTAAAAACTTATAAAATTATATATACCCTACCAATATATGTGGCAATCTAGTGCAATTGGCCCCCATTTGGTACTTTATAAGTCTATCTTTTTGTGTGATGATGAATGAGAAAACCACGAAAAAAAAACTTTGACGATTCTTTGATGATGTAAATAGAACCCGATCTGCGCAAGATGACATCCAGGAATCGACCTTGAACTACCTACCCTCTCATTCTGAATATATCTCACTCGTGCTAACTTGAGCGCATTCAGTCATGCACCTCTTGCCTCGTAAAAGTGCAGACACCAGCACTGGAGCCATGCTAACATGAGTTCAGCCAAATGCTATAGTTAATTGGGGGGCAAGGCCTCCAAGCAAGAGAACCTAGCTACCAACCCCTCTCCTTAGCCAAGTTTTTCCAAGACATGGAAAGGAAGTTGACCAGGCCACATGGCATATTGACTCTTGCTCAGTCCGTAATCAGTCCATCGTTTACAGCCTGTGTTCTCAGATTACAGTATTGGTAAAAGACCAGCAACATGGTGGATAATTCTCATTATCACAACAAAATCTTCAAGTTTTATATAGGGGCTAGCGATGCCGATTTTCATTTGTGTGTAGGGGCCACTTTAGCTAAAGAGCTTATAGCTCTTGTTTTCTTCTCCTCTTTGTTATTGCTGGTGCGCGTTTCAACCTGTTTCAACATCTCACGTGTCCATGAAGGTCTTTACAAACCGACGGAAAATGACGGGCCGTAAAGGAGAAGTTTCACTACTTTATCCTTAAGAGCTCAGAGGGAATCGGAACAAGTTTCCAATGCTTGGTCTCTAAACAAAGTTGTGGGATGGTTTCGCCTAATATAGCGGTTTCGTTACTCTGTCTCAGAGAGAATGGACCAGAACAATTCTCCAGTAGTAACACCTGGAAGAATCACGACTACAACAGGTATCCTGCTACATGGTCAAAACCGAGCTAAAAATGATGGGCATTCGGACGTGAGCTCCATGTGGTCGCAGACGGTACACAATCGGAGCAATCGGCACCAGACAAGCTAAAAACAACAGTGGATCAAGTTCAAAAGGTTTAAAAGCCTTGCTGCTACCCCTCACTTCTTCATCGCAAGAGTAAATTATTCGCCCTGTGGGAACACCATCGACACACCATTTTCACAATCCAACCACAAAGCGTTACTTTCAAACCTCTCCCCGCAGTTAGAGGTATGTGCCCGTTTTTACGCCCCCTCTCCCCCTTCATCCAGCAGTTCCTTGTCGCACTTGGTGTTAATGCTGCTATGAACTGAAGCACAGATAACTAGATAGGCAAACAAGACTCCTCCGTGATTACTCCATTCAACAGAATGAGACGTTCAATGTTATCCAGGCGACTTTTGATCCTATCATTCACCTTAATATTGGGAATGATTTTGTCGGCTCGAGTCGAGGCGTACGGCCAGTGCCCGTATTGTCAGTCGACATTGGAGCTTCGGGCACATCCATCCGAAGCTATATGCGACACTGGCATCCTTTGTCTCATTTGTAATCAGCACCAAGACCAATGCGAAGAAACCAAGTATTGGATGCATGATTCTTGTAAAAACTGTCCTTGGAGGGTGGACCCGGCTAGGGAGGTAAAACCCTGTACCAATGGGGATCATTATACTCTTTGCGAACATTGCTACGATAATCGTCCTCCGCGTTTGTACGTCATCTTATTGAGCTCGTCAACTTGACATTGGATTCAAGCTAATATGTTTTGCTTTCGAATGGGATTATAATTCTACTTGCAGTGATCCGCGTAGATACATCAATTCAAACGACAAAACTCTCCTAAAAACTCGCGAACAGGCTCAGAGAGATTACTATAGATAATAAGTTAATCCCTCATTAATATTCCAACTTCAAATCAAATTGTTTCATCAGATTCAGATGTGAATCGTCTGGAACACACAAAAATGGGTTCTCCAAATTATTTTGATTCACCGTAGTTGTCCCTAAACATTCATTGAGTGAAGCATATTATTTGAATCCCAGTTGCCACTAAACTGTGTCCCAAGAAAATGTGTATACCAGATGTGAGAGCAAACAGCCGCGCGAAGCTGCAGTCATCACGAAATGATGGGGAGTTATATGAAACTTTTATCACAAAGACTTCATTTCATCACTTCAACGGCATCCTGAAGGATTATGAACTGATGGATTAAATGGGGGACATCTATGATGATTTCTGCCACTTTGCCCATTATCCTCAGACTCGGCAGTCAAGGATTCCACTGCCAAGGTGCATAATCTGATAATGCTTAAATCATCAGCTCATAAGCAAGTCATTAATTAATTTGCAGTAATAAATGACTCAATCTCCAAAAACACAAAGAATGTGTTAGTGAAAGTGGGTGTGGCAGTGGTATCCAATGAGCCAGCTTTTAGAAACTGTAACTTACAGAACTTCCCACCACGGATTTGATCTGAGATCTGTGGGTAATGATTTTCTGGCCCAACGATGCAAAATGCAGATCAATTCTAATTGCATGCTGGTCTTTTGGGAGCATTCATCTTTGAATTCCATTCCCCTTTATCATCTGAAGCAATATGATAAACCAGAGAATGATCATCAACTCTCTGATTTTGTCATGCTCTCTAATCGTCAAGGTGCTACTTCTGTTGAACACTTGGGGGGTGGTCAGATAATACAGTACAAGCAATTCTTCCTTCAGATTTTTAAATACCCAATGGCAGGATGAAAACTTTTAAGTGAGAGCATCTCAGGTTTCCTTCTTGGGATTTGAAATCTGAAGAGCTTGATGTTGGTGTAGCATTTTTTTTTTTTTTTTTTTGGGGGGGGGGGGTGTTTTTCTTTCTTGAATTTCTGAATTGCAGGTGACAATTCAGACCAAACTAAAAGAAAATTTTTCTTGTTGAATGAGTGTGGTTTAACAGAGGTTTGTGCAGATGACTCTTATTGGCATTGGTAGCTAATCTGAATAAGATTGCAGGTGATTTCTTCCAAGATTTGGACCTATTTTTGAGCATTGATGTCTGACCTCTAAGGCATGATTTCCAAAAAAAAAATCATCCTTCTCAACATTCCAATTTTGTCTTTTCTACTCCTATTTTTGGAGTAAGTCTATATATCTTATTTCTGGCTTTTTAGGGTTGTTGAATGCTTTTGATGCTGGGATTTCTTGAAGGATTATGAGGTTGGTGGGTCTGTTAGTGAACAAGTATTTCAAAGCATTCAACTGAAGAACGTGGCTAGGTCCAATAGATGATTTGGATGCAGGATGATCATGAGCACTTGTGACACAAACATGTGAAAAAGCGCATGGCTCACTTGTGGATATGCCCCCTCAAATCTCATATGTATCCAACTGATTTCAACCAGCTCAATCAAGTTAATTGATCAATCCTAACAAAGCACAAACATAAAGAAACTCAACCAAACAAAAACACAAACAACTGAAAAACAGAGAGGCTTGGAAAATTTGTATGATTACACATCCCATTTGATGACCAACAAACAAAGAAAAAAAACAAAGAAAACTGTACAAACAAGAAAAAAACTAAACAATAAGATAATGTAAAATATATCTATGCATATAAATTGAAAGCAAACATGATCAAAGTATATATACCACTGGATGCAAATTGATTTGACAAAGAAAAGTAATCCTCAAAATTTATGTTAACAAATAATGAAAGGAATGAATAAACAACTGATTATTTCATGACCACATCCGCATTGATCCCATTATTTTTAGGAGGCTCAATGGATGAATTGTTACTAAGTTTTTGAGGATTTGGAGGGTTTGAGAGAAGCTGAGGAGTGGGATCAAGTTTGACTTTTTTATTTGCGGTTTGAGCAGGCTCGGAGTGGTTGTTGTTGTTAATGGTAGATAGCGAGACGGGCGCAGTTCTTCTTTTGATAGGGATCTTCCCAGAGGGAGGGACCTTGGGCCGAATGATCTTCGGCAATCTCGTTACTTGGTCGTCATCTTTTAGTTTAAACTCTTTCGTCTCCAACCTGGCTTTGTAAATCGGCTGCAGTAGCCCGATCTGTTCTTCTATCCACTCTGGTTTTAAGGGTATAAATTCCGGGGGTTTTACAAATCTTGGCTCAGGTTTTGGTTGATCCCTGTCAAGTAACAATGAAGTTAAAATTGTACAAGTTCAGTTTCGCATTCACTGGCAAGTAAGCGTTTCAAGCTCCTTTGTTTTCATAACTCAACTCGATTTTCTGTTCTGATGCTCGATCAGCATCAGGCTTAGGCCGGCCGTGAAACAACCGACTTGGGATCCTCAAAGAGGACAATCCTAACTCTGAATCTAGTCCGATGTCCCGTAGACCAAAGAAATCTTCACCAAGTTCAGTCGTAAATTCCCCACTTTCGTTTTGTCGAGATTCAATCAAAAGGTAAGAAGGTCGGTTAGCCCCGAACAGGAAGCAGAAAAACAAAATGCATGATCAAGGATGTAAACTGACGTCATCAGTGCTTCACCATCCCTTGAAAAGAAGTCGTCATCACCGATCACCTTAGCCGCTGTTCCTGCCAGCCCATTCCCATAACCGGCTTGTAATTTTCGCAACAAATCGTTCAACTTGTTCCCATACTTATCCACATCATCTTTGACATAGCTTTCCAATTCGTCCAACCCACCAACCCCATTTGCTCGAAGCGTTTGATAGATCATCTCACTGGCCGATAAAACCGGCGAGAATCGGTCGGCAAAAAAGTGCAACGTCCGGCCAATGTTACATAAGTATTGGATCGCGATCTCTGTGAGACAATGTAGCGCTCCCGTATGTGATGCTGTGCAAGTAAATAGACAAAATTGGAATTGGTAAATGTTATTTGGCAACGACTGAGCATCAGGTCTTGATAAAATATACAAGCTTACCATCGAACCCAACATGCGCAATCATCATTGTGATGATTTGTAACATTGCATTTTGAGCGGCAGAATTTGCTAGGCAAGTTTCGTAAACTTCAGCCGATGGCAAATTCTTGAACAATTTCCCCGGCTGAGCTTCCTCCTCCTCCTCGTCGTCATCCGTCCCATTATCCTCCGATCCGAGCGGTTTCACTCGTTCATCTTCCTCGAGAATTTGATCTGATCCAATTTCACCCTGGTTATCAAAATCCACAAGAACAAATTAGAGCCCAATCGAACATTCGTATTCATTTAACAAAACATTAATGTCTGAGTGAGGTCAAGGGTTAACAAACTCTCAGCGGATTACCCATCAACAAGTTCGAAAGTTTTCGATAAACTTTTTTGATCTCCCACAGAGTATTGATATTAGCTGAGATAGGTTTTTTCAGTCCTTCCTCTGCAGCAGACTGTTGCTGTTCCTTCCTTTTATCCTTCTTTCGTTCACGTGGTTTAGGAGTAGAGCGAGAAGCAAAGGGTAGAGCAGGCAGGCCGGTCATCAGCGAGTCCGCCTCGACGATCTCAAATGGTTCATCTTCTCGGCCTTCAAACCAATTCCACATTCGTTCAGGATCCCGGACTAGTGCCTTCCGCTGCTCCAATCGAAGCTCGGATTGTGATGTTGGGATTGGACAGCTAGTCTGAGGAACGACAGGCGTGTTTTGTTCACGGGTTGGGGATACCGGTGGGTTATCGGTTTCGATTGGGGTCTCTTCTGTTACTGTTGCGCGACCTCTCTCAGTCTTCCTCCATCGTTCTTCTGCCAACTTCAGGCCTAGTAGTGGTAAATTTGGTGTTGTGGAAGGACTTGAGGGAGTAGGTACTGCGGTGCCAGCTCGACTGGCGTGTTGCGCTGTTCCGTTAGGGGTTGGTCGAGTTATTGATGGCTCGCTGACAAACTTCAATAAGTCCTGGGCTTTTTTTCGTAAGGATTCAGCAGCTGCACGAAGATGATGATTCTATGATTTTTTTTTTTCGTACGCGTTCTGTTATTTATTTGAAATGCTGGACTACGCCTCAAGGAATTCTCTATTTATTCCTCCTATTACTATATTTTTTTTTAAAGATGAAAGCAAAAAGAGGAAAAAAAAGGAAATAAGGGGAAATGAGACAGAACGAACCCTATTTTCATTGTAGGTAAAGCAATTCGTCCAAATCAATTCCAGATCATCGTTGAATGCCGATTTTGTTTTGTACACTCCTCCTTTTACTTTCTTCAATACCGTACCCAGATCCATTGGTTTTTTGATAACTTGAAAAATGAAATTGGGTTATTTTCCAGTCCGAAAACTTAGCTAGTTCTTGCGTTGAGCACGTATCGTAAAATTCTTCCAATCTAGTGTCACACATACCATCATAGTAATCAGCTGCGTCAGTCTTCCTCACTCTACTTAGGAAAGCAGTTGCGTTGGGCTACCCAAGCAAAGCAGGCGATTGAGCCAAGACAATTTCAGTTAGTTTTATGTATCTCTCTCTCGCCCATTATTATATTCATTTCTAATCATTGAAGACTCACATCTGATCTGAGTTCGTTAGTAATCCGTTCCAAGGTATCGATGAACTCGTGTATTGTAGCCTTTTCGTCCTAAACAACCGATTCCAAACCGCCACAAAGATGAGAGAGTGAAAATAAGAGAGGCACGCGGTTTTCTAACTGACTCTCAGTCCACTTTCCCGGGCATCTGTACTGAGTGCTACCAATTCTGAGGCGTCATGAGATTGAGATTGGATGAGTTCGAGAAGAAACTGTATGCGAAAGCCGAGCTCAGTCAGTTTCAGTCAAAACTTCATGGCTCGAGGGCGAGGGGAGGAGGATCAAGAAGCTTACTTTCATGAATGATGCCGATACGGGGTGTCCTTGAGAGAAATCTGTTGGCCAATCGATCTACCGGATCAGAAGTTGGGATTCTTTCGAAACTTTGTGGTTGAGTCGGGAAGTTCGGTCAGTTGGTCGTTTGGCAGGGTTCACCCGGGTAGCGAAGCCCCCGGGGAGGGCTTCGTCAAAGCTGAGACTCGCTCAAACCAGCTCTTCAGCCCACCACCACCAGCCTGTGAAACTCATGGCCGCTTCCTCGTTGCACCACACCTTCCCACTACTCAGCCTTTCCAATTCCCTTCATCTTGTTATGTATTCTAGGTGGGGGGGAAGAGTGAATCTGAGATTCTGATGCAGAAATTTTGGCATTGCATGTCCTGATTTCCATGATTGAATTTCACAAAATGAATGGCATGCTCATCTAGTAAATAGTAAATAGTGAATACAAAATCAGAAGGATTCCACAAATTTGTCTTACAAGTTGTAGTTCATAAAAAAAGCAAAAGCCTTTCAAATGTATTTCAAGCGCATAAAAATGTAACTATGTATTCACATATGTGGTTGCATTATTATTACCATTATTTGTTGGCATGAATACAAATGAAGATTTCTATGTAGCTTGTAGTTGTGTAACTGTCAATTAAGTCAAAGATTTTTGCCATGTTGAAATGTAGGAAATAGAATGCTCAGACAACTCTCAGATCAAGTTTCAAAATTTATCAAATCTTTGAGTTTCTAATGATACAATAATTTCTAGAAGGGTGGAGGAGGGGGGGGGGAGATGATTTTACATGTATATGAAGGACATCCAGTGACTGTTGAAACAGCGGTGACATCAATCTAATTAGATTGAACAAAGACACAAGAATTATCCAGGTAATCTTGAAATACATAGCTGTGACTTTAAAAACAAGCTTGCTTTCAAGAAAGTACACAGGAAGAGAGAAAGAAAGAGTCTCTATACGTACTAGTCAATCATCTATTGAGAACAAAAATCTAAATAAAAAAAAACGGGGAGAAAGGTCGGATTGAGATAGGCTGGGATTCATGTTGGTCGGACGGCCAAAAGTTGGGAATGCAAGAAACTGGCGAGCTCGATCCGGATCTGTTTAGCTTCATCCAGATCTTTCAAAGAGCTATAATCTTGATGATCATTGATTGAATCTTGCGGTTTTTCGGATCGAAGTTGTAAGGCTTGATATCTCTTCCGAAACTCCGAGATCTTCAAATGGTTATTGCAATTTTCTCTCCTCTGCAAATCATCATGATCATGTCTTTTGGTATTCTGATCAGAGTAGGATCTTAGATCGTTGATCGGAGGTGAGAGTTTGATCGACAGGCTCTGGTTTAGTCTTGGAATCATGTTGTAGGGCGAGGGTCTACCCTCAGGCATCACCTGATCAAATCCTAAACTCAAGTGAATTAAAATAAATGAGAATATAAATTAGTACAATCGAATCCATAGCACACAGCTTTCTGGAAGCAAAGGAATCAAGGTACCAGTTAACCATATGGGTAATATTATCGGTTCGTGCTTAGACTCGAGTACCAAGCGAGAAATTCCCCACTTGAACCTCAACAGCTCATCACTGAATGCGGATCGATCTATATTAGGTTGATTAACTTTGCCTTCAGGAAAGACGTGAACCTGAATGAACATGATGAATTGAAGTTCTAAGTTAAGAATCTTGAAACACGAAGGGTGAGGGCACACACACACCCATTGAGAATTGTCCAATTTTTCGATAGCCAAGTCGAGTGCCGGCTGATAGATCCCGTCTCCCCGGACGGTCTTGATCACTTGTCCATTCTGAAACAAGGGTGCAATGTAACTGAGAGAGAAGATTTTGAAGATTAGATTGAAGGACAGGTGGAGTGGATAAAAAGAGGGAGAAGGTCAATCGACCCTTCTGAGCCTGATCGGGAGAAAGAAGGTAGAGAAGATAACAAGTTTGTGCGCTTACAATAATCATACAGGGAAATATGATCAGTTGATCGTGGAGACTCACCGGTTGGTGAATAGGATATCTGCCGCGCCTAACGTCCAGCGTACTTTTGAGGTATCGAAATACGTGCTGAATGGCATGATTCCCCAGACCATCGGATCATCTAATCTATAAGGGAAAAAAAATTGAAATTTAAATGCCTCAGAAATGATCAACACCAACAAAAAGGTCCGGCAAAAGAGTAGATTCAAGGTGACACATACGTCGAAATATGGTTTGATACTATGAGTTGTATGCGGTTGGGGAAAACAGATGCGTAGGATCAGGACGTAAAGAATCGACGAATCGAATTGTTTTTTTTTTTTTGAAGAAAAACACAAAGAAATGGAGAATGAGTTAACCAGGACAAGAAGAAGCCCAGGAGGAATCTCGAGGGAACTCAACTAGTAATCAACCCGGGCTTGCGGTCGTGTCTCGCACGTTCGAGGATCTCCAAGAGGATAGGAAGGCCCTCGATCCGGGTCTCTTTCATCCCATACTTGATCAACGGCTTGAAGAAGCTCATCACGCTTGCGATATACAGAGACATTTCGTGTCGGTTCCTCTTTCGACCAAATCTTTTCGTCGATCTATGTGGTCCGTCAAAAACTGCAGAATATTCCGGTCCAAGTATCTCGTCAAGAAGGGGAGTTATGTACTATTCGAGGACTGATTGGACAATAGGATTGATTTGAAGATGTTCGCTTGCACTGGAAATCGGAATAAGTTTGCACCACACCCTGGCCAGCTCAACTTCAAGATATGTAGCCTCAAGACAGCCTCAAGGCAGACGTCCTTAATCAGCAGCGCATGGTCCTGTAGACGTCATCCAAACACACCCAGTCCCAAAGTCATTGCACCACTTCCAATTTTACTGTACTCGCATAGAAGGACACATTTCCCATAATTTTTAGCGATCTTCAAGCACGAATCCGCATCTTTTTTTTGCTGGGGTCAATAATGATGAAACAGAAGGATGATGTGAGAATTATTACAAATCAAATCTTCGAGCCTTCCTTGTCATAAAAGATGTAAAATACCGCCACCATGGCTGCCATGAAGTTTATTTGACACCTACTTTGTTCATTCTCTAGAGTACTGAACATAACCAGCCCATCTGAGATACAGACTCTGCTACAAAAGCGTGTCTCAGATGAGATCCATGGCGGTTCACTGTTAAAATCATATCACATGAAGGCACAGAACCCTACAAGAAAGGAAAAAAGGGGGGAAATGGATATACAGTCAAACCTGTCTAACTGCATACCTGTATAGGGGCATAAACCCACATACTACATACTCATTTGAGTCCACCAAATTCTCATTTTTGCCCTTAGCCTACCCTTGTAACCACATAACCTGCCAAACCACATAACAAATTCTTTCCACCAAGGGGTATGTGGTTAGAGAGGTTTGACTGTATCTAGGCCAACTTTCGAGACATTAAGAAGATGGACCAGTTTTCAGATCTTCAATGGGGAGAGAAAGAAATCCAAAAAAAAAGAAAAAAAAACATTCCCCCGCAAAGAAAAAGAAAGAATCTGTTGAATTTGACACGAGGCAAAGAAACGGATGTGGAGGAAGAGAGAACGAGAAGTGCAGAGTGAGCAAGGATATTGGCAAGATGTGAGTGGTGGATGGGGGCATGTATATTTTGATGGTGGCCAAGCCGGAGGAGAAGTGTCTTCTGACTGAGCCGCATTTGAGCAGGCTATTCTGACCCAGGTCACAGTAGTTAAGAGCTGGGAATGAGTGTGTGTGTAAGGTAAACAAAGTGGGTACAGAGTTCGAACAGAGGAGCAAGAGGAGGAAAAGAGGGGCAAGAGGAGGAAAAAAAAAGTTCAAGAAGAGGTAGTAGGCAAAGCAGGCTCGAGCCTGACGGGGGCAGATTTCTTGCGATTCTGAGCCCACAGTTTAGCCCTCTGTTGCCGATTGAGACGTTCGATGGGGTCGACCGTTTTGGGTGTGGGGATGGGATCAAGCAGTGTGGAGGGCTGCAACTGCTCGAGAAGGATGTCTTCTTCTCCTGCGTCGTCGTTGTCGATCGGCAGCGTTGGGCGTGTGGTTTGGAGAGGTGCTTGGGCTTCTGATTCCGGCGTCCGTTCTGAATCATTATTAGTTTCGCCTCTGGGCTCGATTGGGTTGTCTTTCAGATCTGCTTCACTTGCTCTAATTGTTGATGATGAGGGGTTATTGTCAGCTGGAGGCTCTGTTTCTTCTGGGTTCAGAGGCTTTGACAAGACAAGATCATCGTTTTCATTTTCATCGCTCGAGTCGTCATAATCAACCAATCCACCGGCTGCCAGAGCAGGATTACTAGTAGGATGAGGTGTAGACGAGCCCTGTGGATCGGATGGTTGGGTGGAGGATGAGGAGGAGGTAGTTGGGGCAGCGGAATCCGACGGGTCTGGGCCGGCCTTCATGGCTTCCCAATAGGCTCTCCACTTCCCATCTCGACGCAAGAAAGACGAGAAGCGGGGGTCATTACCGTGGTTGGTGAGGATTCGGATCTCGAGTAAGGAGGGCGATGGGGATCCTTTCAAGGCGTCCAACGTCCGTTTCATTAACGTGATCTGTTCCGCTGGTGGGATCTGTTATGCGCTCGATTTCGATTGTCAGCCAAAAAAAAATGTTGAAAGATAGTTGATCAGTTAGTGGGACTTACTTTGGAGAGTCGTAGCTCTTCCTCACGTAGCCTGTCCTCCTCTTCGCGTAGCTTGATCCGAACGGAGCGTTCATCATCCCTTCTACGGCGTAGTTTCCTTTCCAACACAATGTAACTTATCAATCAGCATTCATACTAGAAGGGGGAGGGGGTTGAAGGCTTACTTTTGGGCTATCTCCTGTCTCTCCTCTGGTTCGAAGTAGAACATCTCCTCATGATCGGACGGTAGATCAGAGTAGCCGGTCGGACTGGCGGGCGGCGGACTGGTGATCTGGGGCTCAAGATTCGAATCCGTCGTGCTCGTTGGAGGTGGGCTGAGTAATAGTCTAGCATCGTATCTGCCAGACACGTTTATTCATTTCGTCGACCATAAAACAGAGGAGAGAGAGTCATTATAATTAGATTTTTTTTTGATAGTTCTCTTAGCAGATAATTTTCGTAATGTATATGATATTTTTCATCATCATCAATATCTAGTCGTCCTTGATGAATTTGCTTGCATTATAAATTTTTCTGGTCGATCGGCCTTGGTTTTGATTTTATATCTGAGTCCCCCCCCCCCTGCTTGTGAATGTAGTCCTACAAAAGAATACATCTCGAACATGAAATGGCCAGTTGAATCGGAACAGGTTCGATCGGGAAATAAATCTTGAGGGGTCGGATGATAAGAAGTTGTACATTGTACTTGGAGTGGTACGATCACAGAGACGATCTACAAATCTACATGGGTTTTTTTTTGTATTGGACTGAAATCGATCCCTGAAGCCTTACCTGTCGACCCAAACGGAGTTATCCTGTTGATTGCTAATTATATTGGAGTTCAATCTGATTAGTCTTCCGCCTTGGAGTTGATCACAGCGACTCTCGGACTGTAGAGCTAGTCGGTTGAGATCACATAGTTCTGCCTCCAGTGCTCGTAGGTTCCTGATTAGAGCTCGTTCTTGGTTCTGGTCTGATGGGTTTTCTTGATGATGGTAGTGTTGATGGAGTGAGTTGTTGTTGTTGTTGCTGTTGTGATGTGGTGGTGATGGACTGGGACGTTGTCGTTTGAGGCTTGCTGGTTGGAGCATGCTGCTTGGTGCCAAGTGGAGTGTTGATGAGGTTGAAGTTGGAAGTGGTGCTCTCCCACTGAACAGTCACCCCCGCTTTAATGGTTAACTGGACCACTTCAAAAAACTCTGAATACTGAATACTGATCGGAATATTCCCGAGAATACACAAACAACCGGTTCCATGTCATAAACGGAAGACACCGCTTCGGTTTTGGTTGTGCTTGCCGAAGGTCGACTGCCAACGCAGAAGAAGGAAACGGTGACGAACAACTTCGGACAGTCTCATCATCAAGACCACCACATTAGTCCACTTCAATTCTGCTGGTCCTGACCATTGCCCAACAGCATCACCATTCATCATACTCACAAGATGGCCAACCTAACCGACTTACCAGCCGAGCTAGTCCATCAGATCATCGACCACATCCTGCTTCTTCGAGCCAACCAGCCGTATTGTGCAACCAGTCGTCGAATCAGTAATGATGAGCTCCATCATAAGCCGAACCACATAAAAGGACTCAAGCCGATCGACTCGCGGCCGCCAAGAGTACCCATCCACCAAAAAACTGATTTTTATTCTCGTTGGCTTGAAAACGACTATCAACGAGACCCAAGCTCACTCCGTCAAGTTTCCTGGCCAGAGTGTTAGCGGTTCCCTTAATAATAGATTCAAATAAATGATATGTTGACTCAAATTCAACCCTCAACCTTCTTCGATCTGTAGGTCTACCATCTAACGTTTGTTTACCACTCTCCTTGGTCAGTCGCACATTTCGACACTGTGCCCAAGAGAGACTGTTTAAGGACGTAGTTTTAAAGGACCGATGGCAGGCCTACTTATTTCACCGGTCCTTGACCTGTTGTCTCAGCCAATCGACGCGTGCCCCGATCGTCAATCTCCAAGCTGGCAAGCGCAGCATTCGGAAGGACAAGGTACCACCACTGGCCCAACATGTTCGCACCCTACAGTTCATGTGGACCGGGTCGTGTTCGATGGGCAAGGGTGGCGGCTCTCTGATCTGTGAAATCATTCAAAGCTGTCCATCACTCGAGAACCTCGTGATCAGTAATCCACTCTTATATAGCTGTAAGGAGCCCATCTACCAAGCCCTTGCTGCTAAGAAATCGATCAAGGAATTCGTCATCCTCCAGGACCCTTATTCAAAATCTTTCCAATGGCGAGTCGAAGAGGTCGTTGGCCGCTTATTCGCGCATTGGGATCGTCTAGAGACCGTCGACTTTCACAGGCTTTCTGGCCGACCATCGAGCCGTGCGTTGACGATCCCGGAGGAGCCCGCAGTTCTGGGATCGATTCCGATCATCAATCCTAACCTCCGGACGATGATCTTAACCCAGCCTGATTTAGACGAGAAGCAGTTCGAACTTCTCTTGAAGAGCTCACAGGAGAGCTTACGAACACTCGAGATCATCAATCCTACCGAGAGACTCAGCCGGGCCGGTCTCTGTCGGATCCTCCAGGAGGCTACCAGCCCGGATCTAGAATCCTTGAGAATCGAGGTCGAGACCTGGTGGCACCCTATTGAACGCACCTATGCACGCACCTACGGCTCTGAAAGCCTAGGATCGATGGTTGAAAGATTGTATGATGACGGCTCGGATGGTCAAGGTTCTCGTGTAGAAGGATCGTATGATGAAGGCCTTGCAGGTGGCGAAGGTCTTGACAATCTAGAAGGATCTGTTGTTGAAGAGCTTGGCGACGAAGGCCCCGATGTTGAAGAGGGAGCTGAGGGATCCGATGGCGAAGGGTTAGATCCCGAAGACTCGGACGACCCGGCCATCAACCCAAACTTATTGGATATCGTCTTCAGCTCACAGAAGGCCTTACGAAAGCTCAAGTGTTTGTCATTCACCGGCGAATTGGCCAGCCCCATGTTCTTCGACCTCTTGCCCCAATCACTCGTCAAACTTGCTTGGGAGCATTGTAATATGGAGCCAACAGTCCTCGCTGACAGACTCTCTAGCCCAATCGAAAGCGAACACTCTTTGCCGCATCTGTTGTGTTGTTCAGTTCGAATTCGTTATTGTTGTGAGTTTCTTGGGGTTTTTTTTTTTTCCTCTTCGTATCTCATTATAAAAATGCAGTTATTGTAATGAGTACTGAGTCTTTAATTTCCTGACCATCAAACCCATTCTGTCGATCTTTCAAACCTCAAAAAAAAAAAAATCTTCCATGGGGTGGGATGAAATCGATTTTTGTCAGGGAACGAGGCCGATCGACAGACGATCCAAAGAGTATTAAAAGCCCGAGGAGGATGTCTTCATCAAAGCATCGATGATAGCTATGGGCAAGCGGAGACTGAGAGTCAAGAGGAGCGGGAAGCACTTGAATCCGAGTCGATAGATCACAAGATCGCTCGTACTTCTTCCCACTTTTATCACGACAGAAGAGATGTTTGGGACGGGTAAACTCATCTATAGTATGCGCACTTATTTGCTGTATAACTCTCTTCACAGACTTCTCTCCCTTTCCCCTTTCTTGAAGAAGAGTACTCTATTAAATTTGACCTAGAGTTGGTTCGCTATCAATCTTGAATTCCCTTCCCCCCATGGCATTTTTTTCTTGTTTAGAAAGCTTTATAGACCTCTACCATCCTTAATCACCCCTAGCATAGCAAGCGTGTCGTCTTCAACTAAATCAATCACTGTTTGTTGAATTGTTGAAACATTGCCAGTAGTTGACTATAATTACTGTCAACTGAAGTATCCACCCCACCCCAAACTTCTCAGTCGTTTGCGCGACCAGCAGACAAAGTACAGGCAAGCTAGGGCAATCAACCTCAAGAGTCAAGACCCATTCAGACCGCTATCCGTTAAATACCATTAAATCTGCCGAGATCACGTTTGAAACACCGGTTATGAAATATAGGTCGGCCTGACACACACAAACTCACGTCCTCAAGTCCCTCCTCCTTCCTAAAGCTCAGGCAAGGAGAATTTTAGGATGGGTGTCCAAGTACTCAAACCTTTTTGCATTCTCCCTTTGTAGGGTCCTATTTTGATGATTCAAATTCAGAATAATACATACATGTCTTCCCAGTGCGCGTTGAGTCTGGACGATGTGCTCTCGGCTGCTTGAATATGATAAAACAACAGTCCTTGAATGGATTGGCGCAATGCAAATCCCCCGTTCATCTGACGAAAGGGCCACAAACCAACGGCCATCAACCTGCAGCAACTCGCTTTCTTGGATATATCCACTGTACATACTGGATCCGGCGGGCCATTGATTCCGATTCTCCGACCGCCCATCAAGCTCACATTCCTTCCCTGTAAACATCTACTGCGCCGGAACCACTTGAAGCTACTACGATGGCTCAGCTGAGCGATTTGCCAAGTGCAGTAGTTCTCAGAATAATCAATCACCTCATCCGAACACCACCCGATCGACGCCTCAATGAGGTAGACCATCACGATCTCGACTACAAACAAATCGCACCCTTGCTATACGAACAGCGCCTAAGACGTCCCCTAGAACCAGGTTACATTGGGACATCTCGCTTTCTCTATGATCAAGGCCTCCCACACCCACCTTCGCCGCCTGCTGGAGCTACATTCCCCGATGGTAAGCCATAGTCTTTCACAAAAAAAAATCTACATAGCTTATACTGAGCATTTGACATACGCTCTATTTGCAGGTCTCCCTAAAAACCCATTATTGCCGTCCTCCTTGATCAATCGCACCTTCCAACGCTGTGCCCAGCAAGTACTATTCAGAGATGTCACATTACAAACTCCATGGGACGCGATGCTGTTCCTTCGTTCGCTTGATTGCCCATCCTCGTTGGATAAACCAGACCTCGTGCGTAACCAGTCCGAGGTTTGGATGGATAGCATCATGATTGTCCAATCTTCTCACACTGATCCTGCTTGTCCAAATCAGCTGGCTCAGAATGTTCGCTCGATACAGTTCATGTGGGGAGGCCCTTGTTCATTAGGAAAGGGCGGCGGCTACCTGATTTGCGAGATTCTCCAGAGATGCCCGAAGATCGAAAGAATCGCGATCGGTACGACGCTCTTGGTTCGCTGCAAAGACCCCGTACTGGATGCCCTCGCGAGTTGCTCTCTCGTCAAGGAATTTGTGGTTCTCAAGAACCCTATCAAAGGCATCCCCGGCTGGCTGGCCAACGATATATCCACTCGATTGCTTCCCAACTGGGACCGACTCGAGACGATCGATTTCACCAGACTCTGTAGCCGATACGATGAAAGGAAAGAGCCGATCCCTCAACCAATACCCGTCATCAATTGCGCCCTACGGAAAATAATTTTGGTCCAACCAGATGTCTACGCGGAGCAGCTTTCTTTGATTTTGAAGAGTTCTCGAGAGAGTATGCAAACCCTCAAGATCATCGATCCACACTTTAAGCTTACTCGTGCGGGCCTATGTCAGGTTCTGATAGACTGCGCTGGTCCAAATCTGGAATCCTTGACGATCGAGATCAACGTCGGGGTGAACATGACCTGGGATCAGATACACTATAAGGACATCATTCAAGGCTCCGATGACCCAAGCAAAAACCGGAACCTGTTGGACATCGTCTTCCGCACCTCTTATGCTATGAGCAATCTCAAATCCTTGACGTTTGCCGGCTCTTTGGCCAGCTCCGATTTATTCGCCCTCTTGCCCCCATCAATCGTCAAGCTTGCCTGGGAACGATGCCATATTACTGGCGCTGCCTTCGCGGCCGCACTTTCCAGCTATCAATATTATCCAAGTGATGACGATCTGGATGACCCATACGGCCCTGCTCAACAGGTGCCATTGCTGCCTAATCTGAAGTGCTGCTCAGTTCGCCATGCGCACGACTGTCAGTTTTGTCTCTTTAATGTTCCAATAAAAGGGTATGCTCATCAATCACTAACCGTTTGAATTTCCTTCCTTTCACCCAATCGGGCAAATCGTTTAATGTTGTAGGGGAAGGTGATTATAAGCGAGCAATCCAGGCCAGCTTCCGAGCCCGAGGGGCATGCTATCACAACAAGAAGTATCCGTCTTGGTGCCCGTATTACGACGAGGGGGAGCCGATGGAGCTCAACAATGCCTATGGTTTGGATCACGGTGATGATTACGGATGTGCGGGCTGTGTTCCTTCTGTTGACTCTGATAATGGAGAGTTCTATGACAATCAGTACGAGTTCCTCTGACATCTACGTACTGGCGGTGTTCCTTGTCTTTTCTTTCTTCCGTCCTCCTAACCAAACCTGAGTCCTAGATTAAAGATTGTTCAATACCTTGTACTCTCAAAAGTTTCATATCCACACTTCACCAAATTGTTTCACAGGATCATGACTCTCTTGTAACTCTTCTCTCATCAAACTTCTTGCTACACTGTTGACAAAAGAAATCTTCTTCTTCTTCTTCATCCTTGCTTGACCCCCTGATCATAGTTATAAAATTTATCCCCAAATCCTCTTATTGTCCCTCATACATATATAATAAAAATCTTTCTGATATTGGAAAAAAGTTGATCAATATCAATAGCCTCACGTCTCCAGTGGTGATACTAGCTAGGACTAGTGAAGTCAATTCTGGCTATATTCTAGGCTTTTTCATTATACTTATGAGGGCACTTCAATTCTGGAGAGACTCTATCAGTTTGAAGACTCGGGTGTCTCAATCTTCCCAAGAATACAGTCCCTGTTGCTAAATATTTATCGAGTGATCAAAGACCACAAGCCCTTGTAAAGAGAAGCCATGGCTTTGGTCCCGGTTGTGCTAACCAAAGAACCGGCGGCGCCAATGCAGGGGAAAAGAAAGAATTGGCATGGATGGGTGGACAAATCAGTTCAACCGGTCAGCAATCTCGGTCAGACCGTCTCATCTGATGGACAGATCCTCATCATGACCATATATATTATTGCCCACTTCCCCTTCATTTCTGACCCTCACGACCAATGACAACCCACTTCACCATTACTAGAGTAGACCCACTGATATCAAAAATTTAAACAGAACTATTTACAAAGATGGCCAAGTTGACCGACTTGCCAGCCGAGCTAGTCCACCAGATCATCAGCCACATCCTCCTTGATCAAGCCAACAAACAGTCTTACACAATCAGTGACCGAATCATCAATGATGAGCTCCATCATAAGCTGAACCACATAACCGGAATCAAGCCGGTTGACTCGCGGCCAAGAGCACCCATCCAACGGAAAAGCTCCTCCCATCTTTACTCGTATCAGCCTGACCAGGACTATGAACAAGCCCCAAGCTCACTGCGTCAAGTTTCATGGCCAGAATGTGAGTTCTCTCAATAAGATACATATGGGTTCTTGACATTTTATAGACTCATATTCGAACTTGGACCTTTTTTGATCTATAGGTATACCATCTAATCCTTGTATACCACTTTCCTTGGTCAGTCGCACCTTTCAACAATGTGCTCAAGAGAGGCTGTTCAAGGATGTGGTCCTAGAGGACCGATGGCAGGCCTACTTATTCCATCGGGTCTTGACTGGGGCGAGCCGCTCGACGGGTGACCCGATCGAGGTCCAAGCTGGCCAACGCAACACTCGGAAACGCACTCGGAGGGACGCGACGAGTATCCAGTCTTCAATTCCCAAACAACAACAACAACAACAACATCTGGGTAGACATGTCCGCACCTTGCAGTTCATGTGGCCCGGGTATTGTTCGATGGGCAAGGGCGGCGGCTCTCTGATCTGCGAAATCATCCAAAGCTGTCCTTCGCTCGAGAACGTGGTGATCAGTAACACCCTCCTGTATAGCGTCAAGGAGTCCATTTACCATGCCCTTGCCAGTCGCAAATCGATCAAGGAATTCGTCATCCTCCAGAACCCTTGCTCAGGATTTCACAGTGCTTATCAATGGCGCGTCGACGACATCGTTGGCCGCTTATTCTCGGATTGGGACCTGCTAGAGACGGTCGAGTTTCGCGGGCTTTCTGGCGGACCGGCAAGCCGTGAGCAACAGGCGCCTGTTCCACAGTTGTTCCCGATCCCCAATTGTAGCCTACGGACAATCATCTTGTACGGGCCTGATCTGGACGAGAAGGATTTCAACCTTCTCTTGAAGAGTTCCCAAGGGAGCTTACGGACACTCGAGATCATCCATCCAACCGAGAGACTCAGCCGAGCCGGGCTGTGTTGGGTCCTCCAAGAGGCCGCCAGCCCGGATCTGGAATCCTTGAGACTTGAGGTCAAGTCCTGGTGGCACCCTACTGAACGCTTTTACCCGGGCCACCATGGCTCTGAAACCCGAGGATCGGATGATGGAGGCTTTGGTCAAGAAGGCTCTGATGCAGAAGGATCTGCTGCAGAAGCCTTCGGCGGCGAAAGCGCTGGTGTCGAGGAGCCCTCTGCAGCGGAGGGATCTGATGGCGAAGAAGGTTCAGATGCTGCTGAATCTGATCACGACCCGACCACCAGCCCGGCCTTACTGGACATCGTCTTGCAATCACCAAAGGCCTTACGGAAGCTCAAGTGTTTATCATTCACTGGCGAGTTGGCCAGCCCCAAGGTCTTCACCCTCTTGCCCCAATCACTCGTCAAACTGGCTTGGGAACATTGTAATATCCTGCCAGCTCGGCTCGCTATCAGACTCTCTAATCCAGTCGAAAGCCAACAATCTTTGCCAAATTTGTTGTGTTGCTCTGTTCGTATTCGTTATGATTGTGCGTCAATGTCGTTTTTTTTCCTTTTCATGTCTAGTTATAAAAAGTGATGGCTAGTACTGATTCTTGCTTTTCTGAAAAAACAAACAAACAAACAAACAAACAACAACAACATAGGGAAAGAGGCCGATCGCCAGACAATCCAAAGAGTATTACGAGCGCGAGGGGGATGTCTTCATGAAGATATTGACGATAGCTATGGGTTCGCGGAGACTGAGAGTCAACAGGAGCGGGAAGGACAGGAGTACAATTCGTTAGATCGCCAAATCGCTCGTGCTTCTCCCCGATTTGATGACTGGAGAGATGTCTGGGACGGGTAATCTGTTTGTGCAGAACTGTATAGCTCTGGCCGTCACTTCTCTCTCCCTCTCTCCCCTTCTGCTCAAGTAGCGTGTATTGAATTTGACCCAAAGATTCGTCGCTATCAATCTTGATTTCCCTTTTCTCATGGCAAAATTATCTCTTGTTTGGACAAATGTGTAAACTTTCAACATGCCAAACCACTTGGAATATGTGCATCTTCTTCAAGTAAATCCATCACTACTTCGATAATATTGAAATGTGTTTTACTTTCAAACAATAATCTACTGTCAACTGAAGTATTGCCAGACGTCCCCCCAAAACTTGGCAGTTATTTGCGTGCCCGGCAGCCAAAGTACTGATGTAAACTGTTGCCGACTCCCCCCAAAAAGGGGTTCTTTGATGGCGTGGGGAATAGGATGATCATCTTCCCTTGTTCAATCATCCATGATTCATGTGTTTTTCTTTGATTCATTCTACTCAAGTCGTGTCCAGAATATTTCCCTACAGCGTGTCGCGTAGAGTCTGGACGATGTGCTCTCGAGTCTCGGCTGCTTCAATATGATAAAACACGTTGATCAGTTCATGCCCATCCAATGGATTGACGTGATGCGTTTGAATGTTTGATCTGATGAAAGGACCCAAAGAAACGGGCATCTGACAACCCCTTTGCTTTGGTATCTAAACTGGATTCCGTGGGTTATTGATTCTAATTCTCCAACTGTCCCATCAAGCTCACATTCCTCCTGGAACCATCACTACAATGGCACCACTGGGAGCCAGCACAATGGCACAACTGAGTGATTTACCAAGCGGTCCAGTTCTTAGAATAATCGACCACCTCATCCGACCACCATCGCCACCTCATGATCGACGCGTCAATGAGCCAGATCATCACGAACTCGATTACAAGCAAATCCCGCCCCTGCAACGTCAACAGAGGCCAAGGCGTTACCCAGAACCAAGATACGATGATGCCTATTGGTATCGAGACCCACCTGCGCCCCCTCCAGGAGCTTCGTTCCCGGATGGTAAGCCATGCTTTTTCACATTTATTTACCCAATACGCCATGTGCTGAGTGAAGAAACTCAAGATTTTAAGCCGGAGAAAAGGGAAGAGACCGGGAGAAGAAGAACCTCGAGGAAAAGCTCTGAGGGAAAAACAAAAGGTCTAAGAGCCCAAAAAGGGGCTAGTCTGCTAGCTTGCGTGGAGGAAAAGCTGACACGCTACAAGGAGTTGTATCCGGTAGTGACTCCAGGGAACAGGCGCAGAAGAACTGATGTTTTTCATTCTCTAACTCAGGAAGCATGAATATTTATCTACATACAAGATATGGCTGAGTTGTGGGACAGAAGATGACAATTCATATTCATCTGGAAAAGAGAAGAAAGGAGTGACAGATGAGAAGAGAGTGACAGAGATGTGACAGAGAGAGGAGAGCAGGACACGATCACTTCAGAATTCCAACACCCCCCCCAACTGATGGACCACAGACCTATAATCGATACTCGGCGTTGATATTTAGTTTCTTGAATTCGGGGTTAGCGAGCATCGCCTGAAAGTTTCGTTCAGATTCGACCTGTTCAGGAGTGAAGCCATGAGGGGTACTGAAAGCAAGATGAGCCTGAGCTGAAGTGGTGGTTTTGGATGAGGATGTTGATGGCGATGATTTGGTCGGACGACGATCGGGGTGTTTCTCGAAGCAGATCGCTTCACGATGACCAGCCTTGTCGCAGTGAGAGCAAATGGTGAATCCCTTCTTACAGTGGGGGCACATGTAAAACTTGTCGTCGGTGGTGAGAAGCGCTTGTTGGGAAGGAACCGTAGATGCTCGATCGAGGTGGTTCTGAGCCGCGTACTTTTCTAATCGGGTGAGCATCAACGCCACGGAGTCGCCGGCGCAACCAACACTGAGTACAGTCCTGAACGACTGGAATTCTGAGGGTAGCTTGCGAAGAATGATCGAGGTTTTGACTTGATCGTCGAGACCGATCTTTGATGAGACAAGCAGGTGATTGGCAGCGCGAACCTCAGTAATGAATTCAGACGGAGAGCCGTGATAGTCGAGATCGAGAAATTTTTCGAGAGCGAGATCTTTTGAAACGTAATCATCTCCCGCGTACTTCTTTTTGAGTATGTGCCAGACGGAGTATCCGCAGAACGAAGCTTCTTCGGGGAGAGTTTGGGATACGTAGGCTAGATGAGAGTCGTCGAGATGTTCTATTATTTCGATGTAGGCCATCCGATTGGTTTCCTCATAAGCGATCGATTTTTCGCTTGGTGGTTTATCTTTCTCTATCACCGGTTTCTGAACTGAGCCAAGAACGACTCCAAGGGATCCGATCTTGCTAAGCTTGGCTGTCATTAGGAATGACCATGTCGAGTAGTTACTGTTATTGAGGAGGAGAGGAGCGGTGCGAGAGGGAGTCATTGTGTGATGTGATGATGTGGATGGTGTTGAGGTTGAGTTGATGATGAGTAATTGATGAGGTTTTTGTCGGTTGACTGGGAGTTTCTATTGAGAAGATTTTTGAAAAAGGCGGATTTCGACTGTTAATCGTGAAGAAACTCAAGATTTTAAGCCGGAGAAAAGGGAAGAGACCGGGAGAAGAAGAACCTCGAGGAAAAGCTCTGAGGGAAAAACAAAAGGTCTAAGAGCCCAAAAAGGGGCTAGTCTGCTAGCTTGCGTGGAGGAAAAGCTGACACGCTACAAGGAGTTGTATCCGGTAGTGACTCCAGGGAACAGGCGCAGAAGAACTGATGTTTTTCATTCTCTAACTCAGGAAGCATGAATATTTATCTACATACAAGATATGGCTGAGTTGTGGGACAGAAGATGACAATTCATATTCATCTGGAAAAGAGAAGAAAGGAGTGACAGATGAGAAGAGAGTGACAGAGATGTGACAGAGAGAGGAGAGCAGGACACGATCACTTCAGAATTCCAACACTGAGCCTTCGTCATGCCCTCTATCTGCAGGTCTACCAGACAATCCATTATTGCCGGCCTCCTTGATCAATTGCACCTTCCGACGGTGTGCCCAGGAAGTGCTGTTCAGAGACGTGGAATTACAATCACCATGGGAGGCGATGATGTTCCTGCGCTCGCTTACCTCGGCAGATAAACCAGCCCCCACGCGTGGCGAGCCTAAGCTTCTGAAGAATAACATCGAGTTTGAGCCTTCTCAGACACGGAAACTGGGCCAGCATGTTCGCTCAATACAGTTCCTATGGGGAGGCCCTTGTTCGTTAGGAAAGGGTGGCGGCTCCCTCATTTATCAGATTCTCCAAAGCTGCCCAAAGCTCGAAAAGATTGCAATCAGCACAACACTCTTGGTTCGCTGCAAAGAACCTGTCCTGGATGCCCTTGGAAGTCGGCCTCTGGTCAAGGAATTTGTGATCCTCAAGAACCCTGTCAAAGGCATCCCCGGCTGGCTGGCAAATGACGCAGCCACTCAATTGCTTCCGAACTGGAACCAACTCGAGACGATTGATTTCACCCGACTCTGCAGTAGATATGAAGACAGGAACAAGCCGATCCCTCAACCAATACCTGTCATAAACTGCGCCCTACGAAAAGTTGTCTTGATCCAACCTAATGTCTACGGGGAGCAGCTTTCTTTGATTTTGAAGAGTTCTCGAGAGAGTATGCAAACCCTCAAGATCATCGATCCACACTTTAAGCTTACTCGTGCGGGACTATGTCAGGTTCTGAGAGATTGCGCTGGCCCAAAGCTGGAATCGTTGACGCTTGAGATCAACGTCAGGATGAACATGGACTGGGACCAAATACACTACCAAGACAACATCAAAGGCTCCGATGACCCGAGCAAAAACCGGGACCTGTTGGACATCGTCTTCCGCACCTCTGACGCTATGAGCAATCTCAAATCCTTGACGTTTGCCGGCTCGTTGGCCAGCTCTGATTTGTTCGCCCTCTTGCCCCCTTCAATCGTCAAGCTTGCCTGGGAACGATGCCATATTACCGGCGCTGCCTTCGCAGCTGCACTTTCCAGCTATCAACGTTGTCCAAGTGATCAAGATCTGGATGACCCATCCGGCCCTGCTCGACAGGTGCAATTGCTTCCTAATTTGAAGTGCTGCTCAGTTCGCCACGAGCACAATTGTCAGTCTCATCTCTCCCTTTCCAAAGAAAAAAAAAAAGTGGGCTCAGGATTAGGCCGATTGCTAACTGTTCTTCAAATCTCATTCCTTGTCACCACCTCGGGCAAACTATTTAATATTACAGGGGAAGGTGAATATAAGCAAGCAATCCAGGCCAGCTTCCGAGCCCGAGGGGCATGCTATCACAGCAAGAAGCATCCGTCTTGGTGTCCAGACTATGACGAGGCTGAGCCAATCGGGCTCGATGATGGTTATGGTTCTGATCAGGGTGATGATTATGGATGTGCGGGCTGTGCTCCGTCTGACTCTGATGACTCTGATGATGGACAGTTCTACGAAAATCAGTATGATTATATGTGACATCTACGGACACCATTCCTTGTCTTATTTTTCCTGCCATGCTCCTATATTGAAGATTGTTCACTCCTTCTACATTCATAATTTGATCTCCACATTTCATTGAATTTTATCCGGAATCAGAGTCTCTTTTGATCCTTCTCATTATGTACACTGTTGAAAAAAAAACATCCCCCACTTCTTCATCTTTTCTTAACACCCTCATAGTTCTATAATTCATCCCTAAATCCACTCACAGTTCCTTATAATAAGATATCCTTCTCACATTGGAAAAGTTATCAGACTAGTTGAGTATTAAGTAAATTACTCACACTGTATTATAAGTTTTTTTTACTTGAGAATTCCTTCATGAAATTGGTTTGCTTTATTCACATGCGTCTATTCTTTACACATAACCTTATATATGCTATTCTTGTGCCTCCTACAATGCTATAATATTATAGCAAGAAAATAAGTCACTCAATTAGCAATAAAAGAAAAACCAAAATCTTTTATAGCTATCATCTTGGTGCATCTCTGAAAGCTGCAGAATTCAAGTTTTTAGGCGCAAGCAAAGAAAAATACAAGCAGCAAAAATATGATTATATGAAGGTTGTGGTAGCTAGCTGGTCTTGTGAGATGATTGATTATTTGAACCTTGCAAGATCTGAGCTGCAATATAATTGCTCAACTTTGTTTTCACTCTTGTTCTTGCGGGCTGGCCTGCAGACAGCCCATACCTACCTGATAGCCATGCTTAATTTTACATGGATATGTTTTTGAAACAGTTTTTCAGTAATTATATATCTTCTTCCTGGAATAAGCCTAATTTGACTGAAGAGCTGGCAAATCTTGTCTTCAACTACTGTAGCTTATAGCTCAGATAGAAGGTTGTATTTGTTGATGGGGCTAGATCTGAACACCACATTGGATGAGAATTTGGATACTCACCCTCTGAAAAGTTGTTCATTTACATGTTTCAGTCCAACTGTCAACCTGCTGCCTTAGTAATCCTTTCAGGATGTACTTTCTTCATCACAAGCTGCTCAATTCCAACAATGTGATGGCCAAAGAGGTGGGAGCCAATTCACTTTGTTTATTCCTAATTGGTAGCTTTGGCATGTTGCTCCCAGGTTGCCACATCAGTCCATCATCATCATGAACCACCAAAGTGGGTGCTTTGAGATCAAGAAATCACTGGACACATCCAATTCCTCCAATGTTGGGTTTAAACTTTCCTGTCTGTCAAATCCTTGCCATTCCTCAAGAGTCAAACTGATCAAATATTCAGAAGAATCCATGTGACAAAAATAATAACCTGTTCCTAATAAAGTGATCAGGAGACAATCACCCAAGAAAACCCCCAAAACCGTTTGCCTGACTGTGAGTGGCCTTTATCTATATGGCCCATGTACTGACTTGCAGGAGAACACTGGGGTGCTCTTAGAGTTAGCCCCTCCTTATGAAACATGATTTTATTTTATTTTTTATTGGTAAAAACATTAAACACAAAAGAAGTATCAGTGTTAAGATAAAGATATGTAGATGGACTATTGGAGGACTTCCCCATCAAATTTACAGCCTCCCTTGTAAAGCTATTTTTACCGGCTGGAAAACAATTTTCTTAGCAAAAAATTGGGGCTGTACTGTGGGACTCATGTTTGAAAATGTGTCTTCTTTCCTGTCTTGATCATGCCTTTGGCCGGGATAGACTGTCTCATCCCTCATTCCCAGGCCACTTGGTACAACAGCCAGACAGTCGGACCATGCGTGTTAGTGAGCTGGTCATTTGGTTGTACTTCTCCGCTAGATGACGGCCCTCTTGGCAAAGCACGTTGTTGTTGCAGGGCAGCGCTGGTTGGGAGACGGTTTCTAAGCTACGTCTGTGGACGAAACTGCCCGACGAGCGCAAGCGGTCGCTTTTGAGACGGCTCCTGGTGACCGTCATTCAGACCTTGTACGGAGCCCGTGTATGGGCCGTGGGGGCTTGCGCGGAGGGTCCTGTCTCCTGACGGTCAAAAATGACTGTCGCACTGACGGGATTCTGCACCCGGGGTGTATATGCTGAAATTTCTCTTCTTTCTCACTGATTAAACTTGTGCAAAATTCCCTTCTAGAAGTGACAATTGCCTCAGATTTATTTGGTTGAAGTTAGAATAGCACCCTTAATGACCAACCTCTTCTTTTTAGATCAACTCTTGCGGTGCTCATTTATCAACTCCTCCAGGAACAGGTCTGGAGACTGGATGTCAAAGTGCATTAAGCAGCCTTAACAGTCATGTCATCTCTTTTTGAATTATGAGATTTAAGATGCGATTTAAGGAAATGAACTCAATCAGGGGGGGTGGCAAAATTTCACTCAGGGAAAAATCTCATGTCGAGAGGATGCTTCAATCTCATAAAAGCTCTTAGCTCTGCATACATTCATTGCAAGCAAATTTTTGATTATTTTTTGATAGTGATTTCAATTCTGGAACATCCTTTTTTTGATGACTAAAGAACTACGAAGCAATCCTCCACAAGCTTGGCGACAACTCGATGATTCAGATTAGGCTTGTGCCTTTTTCCATTGAGCAACTTTTTCATGGTTCTCAATGGCCTGGTAGAGTTTTGAGATATTGGGGTAGCTTGATTCGACGAGGTCGGTGGGTAAACCACTGAGCATCCCAGATTTGTAGAGCGTCAGCGCCGCGTAAATCCTCAAGTCGGCCACGGTCAAGCGACTCCCAGCGCTGAAAGCCATGCCTTTGTTGTTGAAACTGTCGGACAGGTGTTTGTCAAGATAGCTGAGCATCTTGGGGATCCGCTCCTCGATCGTCGTCTTGATCATGATCTCCTTTCCCGGATGCTCGGGCGCAAAAAACGGAGGCACGGCCGAGTACAAGTCTAGGCAAGTGGGGGAAATAGGATTTAGTCAGACTCAACCTGGCGAACATGCTAGGGGTGGAAACCGGAAGTCAGTCCCGATTGAGAGCAATCCACATACCATCAACGAAGCACATCAAAACATCGACTTTGACAGCTTCCTCGGGATCCTCCGGGTAGAGGCCTGTCTTGCGACCAACGTAGCGCAAGATCGCAGCTTCTTGCGAGATGACCGTTTTCTCGTCGATCGTCAGGATAGGTACCTGTCCAAACGGGAGACTCTCCTTGATCTTGGCGAATTGTTCATGCGTTAATCGTTCGTCCGTGAACGGGATGCCGCCGCAATGGAGGGCCATTCGGATGCTTTCGCCCCGGCCGCCCTGCAGTTCTCAAAAACAAACACAACAAACCCGAAATCAATGCCACTATTTTTAACGATCTATAGCGCTTTAACGAGAGCGAAGAAAGCAAGCGAATAAAAAAAATTAAAACAATCGGTCAGGGGTGGGAATCCATCAACACAAACCTTGAAGCCAAAGTAAGTGAGTTTGTAGGATGGCATGATCGATAACTTGGTTGATTCAGGTGAACAAAAAAGTGTTATTTCGGTTTCTAAAGTGGTGGAATTTTGGGTGTGTCGCTTTTCTCGGCTAGGATCCTGGCTCTTTTAAGGGGAAAAATGTGTGCGTGGAATCAAGACGGGGATGACTGGTATCCCCCCTCGGTTTCTAACTTTCTTCCCATTTCAAGCAAATCATCACAAATAAATACATATCTATTACTATCTGCATACATAGCACACATGTTGGAATCTTTCCCTTCCTTGCTGCCTTACTCCGTCCATGAACTATGCAGCACAGCATTCCCCATGTGGTTGGTATTAAGAACTCCGAGATCCGATACCCTGTGGTGACTTCCGAGGAGAAGCTCGCGAGGGTTCTTGAGAGCGATGTAGTCCAACGAACGGCCCTTCCCTTGCGCAAGGTTGCGAAACGTACAGCGTTCACTTCGCAGCAGTTTTGGGAATGCTGCTTTATTGGAAGTTGAAGACAGACGCTTGTTCGCCAAGTAGAGGGGATCAACGATTACCCTCAGTCACAGACATGCCACAGGAATGCAATCAAGATCTTCTGTGCACTTGAGGCATATGGACTCGATATGGACGAAGCGGTGGCATTAATTCCATCCGGAACAACCTGCCCACTTCCTTGGCCTTCATTCAATATCATTCCCCTTTGATCATTGTGTAAAAGGCCTTCCGCTACTGTTCTCCGAGGTGATTTGATACTGCAATTTGCTTATGTTGTACCTGCTAAGCTCATTTGTTTTTTAGTCCAATGAAAGGCATATATTTATCATTTCTTAATTTAAAACCCCGAGATACAAGAAAAAAAACAAAAGAAATTGTGAAGACTACTAATTGAAGTGTTGACACATGAATGCGGAAGAGATGAGCATAGCCAAATACTAATATAATCAATGAGAAAAATTATAATTACGGATGGCTTAAAACGAGTCAATTAATATGGGTATCATAACAGATGTGAAAGCGACCATATTTGAAAATTCTATGCAGACAAGAGTTCAAAAAATCGGGACTAGACAAGGAGCGCCCTTTGATTGCCAGTCCTAATTAGCATCTATTTCGTATATATCGATGTTGGAAAGTTTATCTTGCGCGCCCATACCTTCCCCGGTCTGAGCTGAAGTTTCGTCCTGGACCTGGATGGAAACACACCTGTCTTGCTTCCAATTCCCTCAGGATAAATTGCAAGTCTTGCGTACTCCCTGCAATTGCGCAAAAGATTGAGACATAAAGATTATTCGATTTGGAAGAAAAGTTAGTTGTTTGTTGTGACTTCAACAGTTGAAGAGAAATGAAAACCGACATGTGATAGTATCCCCGACTGAACAACACTTGAGGTTAGGTAACCATTGGACTCGTTCATCAACACCAAACGAATAATCTGGTGGGTAATAAGGCATCTCTGGAGGACTCCATTGGTTCTCGCTCAGTCTCCAGCTTGAGAGTGCATCAGCAAACGTAAGGGGCGAGAGGTCACAGCGATTCCAAGTAAGCTTGACGATGGATTGAGGCAAGAGTGAAAAGAATTCGGGGCCGGCCAACGGACCGGTGATAGATAGCACTTTGATTTTCCTCAACGAGGAAGAAGATTTGAAGACGAAATCTAACAGGCCAGGGTTGATTTCTGAATCGATCCCGCTTTCGAGCCTGGTCGAAGAGGGGATTGGATGCCAACATCGGCCCACCTCGAGTGTTAGAGATTCCAAGTCAGGGCTAGTGTATTCCTTCAGGATTCGGCATAAGCCAGGCCGGCCGAGTAGCGAGGTCGGACAACTGATCTGGAGCGTCCGCAGGCTCTGCCAAGAGCTCTTCAAAATCATCGAGAGCTCCTTTTCGTTCAAAGAGGGATCGTTCAACACGATCGTCCGCAACGCGCAATTCAGGGTGGGTATTGACCTGTAAATCGTCTCGACCTCCTTGTACGGCCAACCGGGGAGCCTGATGAACTCAACGGTTTCGAGGAAATCCCATCGCGAGAACAGTCGACCGACCACTTCGTGGGCTTGCCATTGAAACGTTAGACATCCTGTGTTGGGGTTCTCGAGGACGACAAACTCTTTGATGAGCCGACGACTTGCCAGGGCTTGTAGGATGTGCTCCTTGCAGCGCGTCAAGAAGGAGGTGCCGATGATGATACTTTCGAGCAGCGGACAGCTCTGGAGAATCTCACAGATTAGCGAACCCCCGCCCTTTCCCATCGAGCAGTGGCCGGTCCACCTGAACTGTAACGCGCGAACGTGACGAGCCAGTCTACTCAGACGAGCAGGATAGACGGCAAATGATTGAGCAGTTGTTGAGGTGTTCTCACCAAACTCGTCTTCATCTTGTCTATCAATTAGGCCTTCCGTATCATCAGAGCCATTCAATAGGGATGGACTGGTGAGCGTTCGGTGGAACAAGTACGCCTGCCATTGATCAACTAAAGCCACGTTCGTGAAGAGCTTTTCCTGGGCAAAGTGCCGAAAAGTGTGGTTGACCAAGCAGAGTGGCAATAAGGGATTCGAAGGCAGAGCTACAGAGATGGATACTCAGTTTGACATAGCTCCTCTTTGTGAGATTTTTAGAAGGCTTGCATACCATCTGGCCATGAAACTTGCGGCTGCTGTCAAGATATCGGAGTCGATGATTTTCAGTCAAGAATTCTGAAGTAATGAAGTGGGACGGAAGAGATTTCAATTAGGGCACTCACCATACCGTGCCTGCGAAAGCCCTGAGAGGTATCTTTGTATTCCAGATGAGACCTTGCCTTCTGCCGGATGTCTTTATTCCCGTCGTGCTCGAGGTCAAACTTTTCGATTTCGAGGTTGGCATGATGAGGAAGGACTAAGTGATCGATTATTCTTTGGAATAGCTCGGTTGGCAGGTCCGTTATTATGGCCATCGTCCTCGTTCAAGATATATAGGATTTGGAATTGAGGAAAGAAGCGTTTCCTTAAATCTCGTCAAGCAGACGCTGCAAAACATGTTCATCAATGTTTGGCAATTTGAATGATCATCTGGATTCTGGTTGGGACAATCCGAGTGCTTACGTCTACAACGTCAAGCTCCTTGATGACTGGCGTTGCCGCCTCGAACCAATCCGTCCAGTCGGCGATCACTCGGGATCAGCGTGCCGTCGTGAGAGGTGACCATCCGTGTGACGCTCCCGAGGCTTGTAGTTGGTTATACAGGTGACCTGAATTCTATGTAATCGAGAGACTTTTTTCCTGACGAAACAGTATAAATACAGCCGTGCCCCGGTGCCGGTGTGATCTTATGGCGGGACTCGGACCTGTGCTTGGATCTCCTTGGGATCGCCGAGCTGTGGGTTGGAGATTCGCGACTGCCGGCCAAAAAATACGGTCAACATTCTTCGCCCTTCCCATCACGGATCACATGGGATAAGCTGAGCAGAGGATTGTCCTCCGATGACCTGCGCTGGCACATTTCGACCGGAGCTGATTGGACGGGACCCGGGCCGGTTGACCGAGCCACCCGAATATTCCGATTGCAACCAACGGCCTGGAAGCTGGGCCAGCGGACTGAAAAAACCACACCTCAGCAAAACAAGCATCCAAGCTGAGGCAGTAACTGTAGACCGGCCCGAATAACGTCTTCAAGCTCAACCCTATCCAGGCGATGGCCAAGCTATCCGACTTACCCCCCGAACTCGTTCACAGGATAATCGACCACATCCTCCCTCCGCTTCCGTCACAATTGGTCAACGAAAACCAGTATGCACATCGAGACCTTGACCACAACGGGATCAGAGGCATCCATCCCAGACCAAGACCACATGTTCTTGAATCCAAAGGAAACTACGGTACCGCTCGCGAGTTTACGATCAACACTCCCGTCGACCGAATCAACCATAATGCACCAGATGTTGAGCCCTCTATCTTGCTTCGTTCTCTTCTCTGCTCGAAGTTTGATCTTGACTGACATTCTTGACATCTTTGTAGGTTCCCGAAGTTTCATGGCCAGAGGGTGAGTCACATCCATCGTGCCCTTTCGACCGCTAATCAGGTCTTCTTAATTGTGGATTCATCGCTCGGTCCTTGTAGCTTTGCCAACCAATCCGATCTTACCACTCGCCTTGGTTAATCATACCTTCCGACGATGTGCTCAAGAAACTCTCTTCAAGGACGTCGCTTTATCAAGCCAGTGGCAGGCGCACTTATTTCATCAAGCGCTTATTTACCCAGCCACAGAAGATACTTCAGGACACATAAACCCCACAATCGATGCCGATTCCTCCCGATCATCTGGAATCAGCCCCACTCGTCAGGGCCAACTAGCTACACAAGTTCGCTCATTGCGGGTCAAGTGGAGCGGCTACTGTTCAATGGGAATTGGCGGCGGCGCTCTGCTCTGTGAGATCATCCGCAGTTGTCCTTTTCTGGAAAACTTCGCCATCAGTACCGCATTTCTGATCAAGCGCTGCAGAGAACCGATCCTGGATGCCCTAGCAAGTCGACGGTACATCAAAGATTTTGTGGTCATCCAGGACCACAGGTTAGGCCGCACAACTTTACAATGGCTAGCTGACGAATTGGTGGATGAACTCTTCACCAAATGGGAGTTTCTCGAAACGGTCGAGTTGGTGAGGCTCCACAGCCGGGAAGCCGAGATTACCTCAGATATTGATAAACCAATACCAGTACTGAATTGCGCTCTGCGAACGCTCATTTTGAGCGACTTTGATCTACACGAGAGAGAGCTCTCGATGTTACTGAAAAGCTGCCAAAAAACTCTCCGAACACTCCAGATTAGAGGACCGGGGAGAAGGCTTGACCGGCCGGGTTTATGCCAAGTTCTCAAGGAGTGCACTAGTCCAGATTTGGAATCTCTGACGATCGAGCTGGACAACTTGTGGCACCTTTTCTACTTGCGCTCAAAGAACGATTCATCGGATAACCCAGACACGAACCGCGGCCTGCTAGACATTGTTTTCAAGTCTTCTGCACTGAATAAGCTCAAGTCCTTGTCACTCACCGGGGTATTGACTGGCTCCGAGTTCTTTAACCTCTTGCCCCAATCTATTGTTAAGCTGACGTGGGCACGTAGTGGCACCCCGCCAGCTCCGTTCCTCAAAGCTCTCTCCAGCTGGAGAGAAAACGAAAATCTTGCGGATCCGTGTGGGCTACCTGGCCCTCAATTTGATTCTGCCGCTGGTGGCAGTGGGCGTGTACCATGGTTACCTAATTTGAAATGTTGCTCTGTGCAAGTTGGTCAAAATTGTTCGTTTTTGTCCTTCATTTTCACCTGAATGAGTCAGATAGCACCAATCACTAATGTCTACCAGGATTAAACCACTGTAAAACTATTGGTTGATGTGGGTTTCAACTTTAGGGCGAAGGCAAGACCGACAAGCAGTCCGAGATGCATTAGAAGCCCGAGGGGTATGCTTTCACATGGTCCATACTCCAGGCTTTGACACATGGGATGAGCACTGGGACCGAAAAAATTTGCAAGGGGCTGGACAAATGGTAGAAGATACAGAAGATGAAGATGATAGTCCAGAAGAGGGGGATAATCAGCCACTGGGAGTAGGACTTGGACAAGGAGAGGAGGAGGATGGGCTAGACGAGGACAATGGTACATTAGGAGGAGGCACAGACGATGAAGACGATGTGTTTGATGATGACTAGTAGACAGGCTGATTGTACGACTACAATCAAGTGTAAAACAGGACGGATGCAGATATTCAAGACTCTTATAAACCACCGTTTACAAAACATTTTCTATTCCACTGTCTTGCGTGTTCAAAGCTCACGAAAAGTCCAAAGGTGCATCTGGTTTGCAGCTCAGTGAAAATTGGTAACTGAGTCGACTGGGCAGCTTGTAGAGCAAGAACAATGTACATTAGACCGTTGGGTCCTGGAAGGTAAAACAAAAAAAAATTGTAGAAAGAGAGGAGCTCTGATCATCTGATCCCATTCCACCCTTCATGATCAGTCGCCTCCACATTTTTGGGGGCATCTTATACAAGTATGTTGCTATCGGTTTGATAGCTTTTGCTACCGAAACAAGCAATCTTTTCATGAGGCGAGAGACTATCAGGAGCGTACATAGACATGTTGCTAACAAGGACTAAAACTTACTGCCCAATACAAATCAATTCACGTCCTACTCTTTTATCACAATAGAGCAAGCCACATGGTGCAGAAAAATTTCTCCTTTGTTCAGTGTCTTTAGCAGTAATGTATGAGAAATCCAATGGAAGATCCAAGATAAGGGTCGGCTTGAATGTCTCAGTTTGCGGCTGTTATTTCCGGAAAGCTCAGGTTTTCGCGGAGCAAGATAGCAAGTTACAACTCCGGGAAAACTCAATTGATCACAGCCGATCGGGAGCAAATAATGATTTTCAGTGAGAAGTTATAGGGGGTTGCTTGGTATTTTCCAGTCCCCTGTTTCTGTGGAATGCTTGCACATTTTTTTTTTTGGACTGGCGATCACAGAGAAAACAAGAGAACAATGTATTATTCGTTTTGCCCCCCCAGAGTTATGGCTTGGGATAGGTGAAAAATCTGATTGTGTGACGATAATCTAGCGCTCTGCTCTCGCTTGCAGCACATCAATCTGACCGGGCTCGACTCAAAAGTACACATTGATCAAGGCACGTTTTGTGAGAGGATTCCTTGTTGATGCAGATTTGCTTGACAAGAATCAAGGACAACAACGTTCGATGAACAAATGCGAAGGTACATAGAGAGAACGGGAGAAATTCGCATGGTTTTTGCTGGAGGTGGAAGGGGGGGGGGGATGCACGGTTGGAAGGAGCAATGATCACATTCTGTGGAGCAGTTTCTCATTGACAAGGAGCGCGCTGTCAACCGGGATGAGACAAGATCGGGTGCAGGAATCAGCAAGTGTCATATGAGCTCCTCATGGCTTGAAGTTTGAGCAACTGTGAAGAATCAAGAGCCTTACCCCTGGGGTGTGAGGGCAACAATGAAGACTCCACGGTTCGCAGTACTTTGTGCCAGCCTGTCCCGAGATCATATGCTCAGCGGCTAGAGCAAGTGATTAATAGTTAGCAAAAGATTATTTTAAATGTCAATTAGGAGAGCAAGCTTACTGCAACCAAGTGCATAACCAGCTGGGCAGTCCTCTCCTAAAATGCCATCTGCCAGGCACAATAGGGTAACCATGATAATGGCA